GAAAACGCAGTGTGGATCGAATCTACTATTCGTATAGGACATAAGGTTTCTTCCTACTTTTAGAAAACACGTGGTATACTGAGATAATTGAAAGTTGCTTTCTCTGTGAATTAATCAGTTTCCCAGGTGGCATAACGAACTCTGTTAATTCCTGCCGGCCATTTTAAGTTAGGTGACTGATTCTCACGAAAAAAGAAAATGCGCACCGCCTTATTTAGTTCTCGCTTGCAATTCCTTGCTTTGCCAATTCCTGATTTTCTCTAAGACTTGTGGATATCGAGGCGGGAAGTTAACGGGTTAAAAAACGGAAGACTATGTTACATATTTGCACCATTTCCAAAACAGAGTGAGGAACGATTTGAAGATGCCATCAGAAGTTTTCTAAGTTATCTCTTATCTGCTCTAATCAGAAGTTATCTATTCCTCCTTTCCTCATCTCTCATCGAAGTGATGTTTCCAGTTTTGTCATAGTCATATTTTAGCGCAGTACCACTGGGAAATCAGCTGTTGCGATGGCCGACCCAGTGGCTACATAACCGATCTGATTCGTTTCCTGCACACGACATTCATTGCGTTCACGAATCTTCCGGTTTGTTAACATTAATATATGACGTAAAATGTTTTTTGTTAACTTGACGCTCGTTTTTGTTAGGTAGTTCTGGCTAGACACATATGTGTCCAATTGTGTAAGTACATCGCATCGAGACTTTTCATGTTCCTCACAGACCCAGAAATACGACAGATCAGCATTGGTGCCCTCGAACAGATCAACCTGGACGTAGTTCAGTGCGAACGTAAATAATGCATTTTTATTGGTCGCATAACTCAATGATTACATTGCCTATACCATTATAGAATTTGCGGCTCAATGCCCTGTTCCCGGTTTCGAGGATGGAACTCTCGTAATGACCTTTGCTGACCTACGGCAGGTAAGAATGATACCCTGTGTTATGATGTTGATATGAATATAGGATTGTTTTACTTAAGAGGGACAGCGGCACAATGCTTAATAGCTTGCATTGCATTTAAACGTCGCTTCATTAGCCTTTATCGATTCCTTGCTGGGTGAAGGCATCTCCAAGATTCGCGACGAAATTCTGTCTTGCAGTTCTTATCCACGTTGTTCAGCAAACAATCTGTTCTGCTTATCATCCCGTTTATCTGGAGATCTTTCCATGGTCGTTTACAATGTCTTGGTGTATCTTCTATTTTAAAGGTGCCGCGATTAAATTCGCGCTCAACTTAAATTTTTTTTTATTAACCACTATTTCTTTTGAGCAAAGAATTAACTCCATTGTGCTGTGCAACTAACCAAGAAACTATTAGCAGTTCGTTGACCGGCAAGTGGGAACAGCATAGTATTGCGTTATGAGCATTCCAGGGCATGCGAGACATGTGGCCATGTTGTGTGATGCTTTTTGCCTTATGGCTATAGTTAGCGGTTGCTTAGCTGACTGATAGTTGACTTAAAAACCAACGGGTAGCATAAAGCGTAGATATAAACTGTAGAATAATTTTATAAAAGTATAAGGGTGTGCGTAAGTTACATTTAAGATATTACGCTTGGAATCTGTCAGGATCTGTTACTGGCCTTTTATCGCTTTCATTAGTGATGCTGACTCGTTTCTGCAATGCAGAATATTTTTCTGCCTTCGCTGTTACATACATGCATTTCCGTCGAATTGACTGAACTCATAGCTAATCGTATCTTCAGTCGTAAGTTACCATTTTTGTTTTCCATGTTGAGGAATTAGTAACGAGATTGTGTCCATTTCACTAGTCGAAATGTTTTATCAGCAGCGCGTACAACAAGACATTTCGTCTATTCATGGTGAGCGCAGTCCAGTATGTACTCTCTAATATCTAGGTATCAGATGACCGTTGTACATTCGGGAACACTGGAAATTCTGATTGAATGCTGAAAATGTGTGCAGCCCGTTCACCACTGTTCGAAGGTACCCGCGTTTCAACGAGATCTTATTACAGCAAGGTGTCAAGCCATGATTGCAACAAAAGAGAAAACCGATTCTAATTACTGTACTGAAGCATTTCTTGTAACTTTTCAGTATTTGTGTGCAATCACTTTTCGAGATTTCTGTGGTCGATAAGGCTAAGAGATTGGTAAGGACCTTGTTGTTCTCTGCAGTGCAGCAACTGAAGCATGTCTATAATAAAAGCGAAGTGATTTTTTTGCATAGACCTTATTTTAGAAAATTCATGCTCCTCCAATATCAACGGCTAAAATATTTCCAAATGATATTCCTGAAACAGCATTAAACACATTTGCTATTAAACTAAAGTTTTTCATAAACCTACTAACAGTGATAAATATCTAAACATTAATTCACATAGTAATTTAAATAATAAAAGATTTAGTTAAAGGTAGTTCGCC